AAAAAAAAAATTATGGATTGAAATAGAATGTAAGTGTTGATATGACATGTAGCTGTTTCATCAGATGAAGTAACGTGCATGTAGATATTCATCAGTATCTGTGTTGGGAAAACTCTGAAGTAGTCCTACTAATTCAGAAGATGGTGTCCTCACATATTAACATACGATACTGGAACTGTCACTGTACAGATCAGATATAAAACCAGTATTCTGACTGCATCGGTGTACTGAACCGGGGATTTACCTCTGACATAAGCTAAAAGCTACTTACAACTTCTTGGCTTGATTGAAATAGGTTATTTACTGGAACGTGGCAAATTTTGTTATAAAGATATAGTAATGCTTTGCTTCTGCTTTGTAACAATACTGGAAAATGTCAAAATCTTGTATTTTGCTTAGCTCTTTCGGGAGTTTGTCTCTAAACATTCTGTTTTATGGGCTGCTGAGGAGCAAGGGTCCCATCAATATCAGTTTCCCATCAATAAGATTGTTAAAGAGTGAGAATCTTGTCAGGATGACTTTTCAGTAACATTACCACTGAAGACTTCTTGGCTTTAGTACCATACCACCAAAACTTATAAACCTGCAAAGAGCTATGATTGTGGCAAACGGGGATTAGAAAAGATTTTGAAATCTTTTAATTTGTTTTCATATTATCTGAAAAACTAAACCAGTAAGGCCTGTAATTTAAGAAACTATAAAGGAAAGACATCCCCTCTCTAGTTTCTGTAAGTATATTTAAAATGTATAGTTAATGCCTGTGGAGTTAAAAGTTTGAAAGTTTGAAAACTTGGCCAGATTTGACTGGCCAAGTCTCCTCTTCATTATTTTAATTCCACTATAGGATACTCTGATACATCTAACTTGTTGTGGACTATTAAATAATTACTGGCTCACTTGAGATTTCATTTTCATGATGAATAAAGATGTTGATCTGGGAAGTGCCATGTACAAGCTGTAATATGGTGACTGTTTTCTTTAACATCTCTAATAATACTTTTTTTTTATTTCAAAACCCACTTCTTATGTGGCAAATTAAATATAGGAATAAAAAATATCCTAATTCATTATTATCTCTTGAACTGCAAAGGGTTTTTGAATAAAGGCAATGTTCTAATGCAATTGTCTGAACTTTCCTGCATTTCAGACAATGTTTCTACTGTTTTGTCATTTTGCTAGTAATTCTCTTAAAGTATTTTACTACTTAGCCTCTGACTGAACTTGATACAAATATTTTTTTACATTTTGCTGGACAATTGAGTATTGGATATGCTGAAGCTTTCTTTACTGTAAAATGACCAGGTTAAATTAACATGACAGCAGGTGTTGCCACACAAGTGACAACAAAGCTGTATCTGTGCATACCACTGTATACTTTTTTTTCCTATTTTGTGTTTCCTGTAGCATGCATGTGAAATAATCCCTTGCAGTAGATTGTTATTTTTTCAAACTTTTAACTCCACAGGCATTAACTATACATTTTAAATATACTTACAGAAACTAGAGAGGGGATGTCTTTCCTTTATAGTTTCTTAAATTACAGGCCTTACTGGTTTAGTTTTTCAGATAATATGAAAACAAGTTGTAATGATATAACATTTCATTAAAATGAAAACATTATTTGCTTCCCCTTAAGACTGTTACCAGGGTGGCTAAACCATTAGCAGGGTTTCTTTACTTGCGTCTGTGACGGATAACCTAAGATGACATTGAGCTTGGCAGCTCCACAGCTTCAGGGTAGTATTTTAACTAGGATGAACTGTTCTTGAACAATGTCTGGAATGTATTAGTCAGAAGCGTGCTTTCCATCACCATTAGACACACAGGGCTATTTGCTGCATCTATTAATTTACTGTGAAGAGATATTTACAGGAACAATGTGGATGAAATGTCACCATTTTGCACTTTAGTTCTGTGATACTTCTCTCTCTTCAGTCTGTGGCAAAACACTGTTGCACAGTGAAGCTCATTGAATATCTTACCTCTGTTAACAACCTCACTTAAAGGGAGAGAAACAATTTCTATTAAATAAATGAATTTAGATATGCAAGAGAGATTACTAAATGAAGGTCAAATCATGATCTGGTTTTAGTAGATGAATTCATCATTGCCATTAGCTTCAGAAATACAGCTCAGAGTTGGGCACATGCATAAAACCAGTTTACTTCTGAAATTAAATTCCTTTGTTCAGGCATGATCCAAAGCCCGCTGACATCAGTGTAAAATGCTACAGGCCATAACGACATCATATTAAAGTTACACCTGCTTTTTACTTCCTGAATTTTGGATTTGGAATTGCACTTTCAGCAGGTTCAACTACAAAAAAAAAAATAATTCTGCTTGGTAGAATGTGATTATGGACTCTTAGAGAAGGAGCTAAGTTATCTTTTGCCGTTATTAAAGCCAGCAAGGTGGTTCACAAGCAAATTTCACAATGTATACTTATAAAATCAAGAATAAGCACATTTTTAATCAATATAGGAAAGTGAATTCTATGGTGTTTTGCTGTATTAATTTAAATGTGCATCTTCAAAGTCGGTACCAGACTTGAGCTAAATGTAAATGAGTCTTTCAGAACAGGATTGTGATGTTGCATCACTTCTTTTAGAGATGTACCTTACAGGAAACTAGCATGCTGAATGGCCTGAGCTTTGGAAGGTCTTTGGTTGTTTGGGTGGGGGGGTGCTAGGAGGGAGGGAAAGAATAAAGTTGTCTTCCTTGTTAGGGTTATAAAAAGAAAATAATCTCAATTTTGTTTGTTTTCAGTACATTTCAGGTTACCTGCAATGTTCAGCATTGTCTTACTGTAACAGACCCTACTAAAACCTCATCTCCTACACTGATTTAGGTGTTAGTGGCAACTTATCTCTGAGAATAAGGAAGTGATTTTAACATGTGTAACTAATTTTTCAAACAAAATTATTCCAGCTTAAACACACATATGTACATACATGTGCATACACACTGAATTAGAAGTTTTAATAAACCATTGAAAAGCTTTGTATTATATTTATCCAAATATTCACATATACTGGAAGCAAGGAGGTGTTTTTTGAAAGGATGACAGGAAATTAGTTTTCTGAAAGGCTGAAAAGAGTAGCACTCCCATAATGGAAAAATAAGGTCATGTAATAGTAGGGTAGGATCCAAATTAAAAAAAAATAAATTACTTTCTGTTTAAGTCAAATACTTTTCTTGCCAGCCATTTTGAAGACCTATGAAATGCCATGTTCATATTAATGGATATAGTATTGAAATTTTTAAATCTTCCTATATATGATTAATAAAGGTAATTTGTCAGAAATTACTTTTGATGTGATTAATTACTTCTTATTACGTAATGTTTAATTTGTCACCAGGAAAAAGAAACAGAAATCAACCAGTTAAAAGAACTACTTTTGAAGAAGACTCAAGAGTTAAAGGTGCAGAAGGATAAGGAGAAGTGTGTTCTAGCAGAAATTGAGGGAAGTCAAACATCACTTAAAAATCTTAAGAGTCGACTGCACAGACTTGATGCAGATGCATTAAAACAACAAGAATTAATATATAACCAGGTAAAATGTTAATGTACTTTCATACTATGATTGTTTCTTGGGTTTAATGAGAGTAAATTTCTTGAGTTCTGTAATCTTTGTCAGTATCTTACCATTTTTGAAATGCCATACAGTATAATTTGAAGCCTGCATTTATTTCTGTCTCTAGGTGTACAGATAAAATTGAAATAAGTGAAACTGGTTATAGTATCACCTACATTGTGCACTTGTGTATTTAATTTTTTTTTTTATCTGCTGCTTTTCCCACTAATTTCTCAAATCAGTTCTTTACTTTGATCCCTCTGAACCACAGATACCTCAGGGTAAATTTTTAAAGCAATACAAGAGGTACATGCCAAAATCATGTTATTTACTAATTGGATTTCGTGCATATTTCCTATGCACCACTTTGAAAATTTGCTCTTTTATATCAGCATCCACTGGTAACAGCAAGATGGCAACTCCACTGTAAGCCCCCCTACAGCAGACTGCGCTGAGTATGCTTTGTTACTTTTCTAGAAGATTACTCCTGAACCATCACTGCACATCAGTCATCTAAGAATATTTTGCTAATGAGGTCTATAAGCCATAAATTATTAGAAAAACAATAGCTTAAATGGGTGACTGTCCTAAAGCCAACATTTAGATCCAAATTTATATCCAGTATTTTAGCTTTATAGGAAGGCTTTAATTGCTTATCTCAGACTATTAATTCTCTTAAAAAATTATTTTAAACAGGATTTTTATATTCAGCAAGTACAGAGACGGCTGTCACGGTTAGAAGGGGAGGTTAATGCAGATGAAAAACAAGTTTTGGAAGCAAAAGTTGCTGAACTTAAGAAAAGCTTAGAAGAAAAGAAAAATGCATATGATATTTTACATGCACAGCATAAGAAACTTCAGGTAACTTCCTTAGAACATCAGGTTGACTATGTAACATCTAGAAACCTCAGTGATTTAAGTAGACTGGGTCGTCTTAATAATGTGGTATTAGACTAAAAGATATCTGAACTTTGTGTACCCCCTGTGGAAAACTTCGTATGTTCCCTGTACTGTCCAGAAAAATAGGTCATTAGTGCACAACTGAGACACCTTAGCATGAAGACAAGCATGGAAATGTTGTAAAGGCAAACTTAGCTTTCACTTTAAGATGTGACTGACTGTTTGGAAATGTCTGAGTTTATCGTTAGGACCATGTAAAAATAGAAGAATATTATTCTGTGATGCTACTACTTACTTTTATATTTTTGATAAAATGTACAGTTGCATTTAAAATTGTACAAGGTAACATTACAGAATTGAAGGGACAGTATTTGCGTTAGTTGACCCCATCCTGATAAGTAATTCAGAAATACTATTCTTCTGTCTTTATTCCCATGTGAGAATTTTGCATATACATGCTTGTTCTCTGGTTTTCCACTATCCAGTCACCATCATTAATTCTCTAAAAATGCACTTACCTTTCTTGTAGAGATGAACCAGTCAGTTATTCTGTAGCCAATTTATAATTTATTTTTATAAGAAACCTATTTGTTTATGAACCAGCTACATTTTAGCATATTTAGAAACCGCTTTTCCAAGAGAAACCATACAAAGACAAAAGTCAGGTTTCTAATAAAACATCACAACTGGTTTCTCAAAGTGATAGTTGAGAAAAAATTTAATCAATTTAGTGAGGGGAAGAAACTGCTTATAGGAGAGCCCTTTAACTGGAGATCCATGCAATAATAAGATTTAATGCTGAGTGACTGGTGCTCACACTTTGAGGAGGTGCACACACAGTATTGAGGAGATTCAAAATGTAGGCAGTGAGTATCATCAAATATTGAAACACACCTCCAGGAATTTATTCCTATTCTGGAGTATTGTCAGAGAGAGATGGTTTTATGAAGATGAACTACAATATCAAAGTCATGGTGAGACACACCAGGAGATTTTTTTTTTTTTTTAAATCTAGACCAAAAGACATGATTATATTAGAATTGCCTTATTGGCTGAAAGATCTATATTGTATAAGTAACAATTACTTCACTCCAAATAAAACAGGCAATGACATTAATATTGCAACAGCACTCTGCATGCTCTAGGCACTGTTTGCAGAGCAGCATATAGACACAAGATGATGATGGTTCCTGGTTCCAGAACTTAAAAAATATCTCATTTAAAATTAATGGGTAGCTTTTGTTGCAGCCTACATTCACTGAAATAAACGAAATATAACTTATTTGGAAACAGAGTGATGTCCATTTCATCAAGAGAGCAGTGGATAAGACCAGAGAAGAAACAAGTGGTATGATGACCAAGATAAATGAACTAAATCTTTTCAATGAGAGATCAGATCAGGAGTTAAAAAAAGCTAAAGCCACTAAGCAGGTACAGTATTATTTTTCAGCTTTACTAATACAGGACATGTTAGGTTTTTAAAACACATGAACTCATGACTTGATCTGAAGGCTGTTGTCTGCCTGCCACAGTGCTACATCATTATATCTGTAAGAACCCTCTTTGTACCTTCTTGACTTACACCTTCCTTCCCAAACTTTGAAGTAATTTTCATCACTATTATCTTACTAAGCAAAGTGTTGCTTCTCCTCTGTGTACCACAGTTTGTTTGGGTTATCAATTTAATCACACATTACTTATACCACAATACCCACCTGGTCAGTGTGTGGTTTTTTTTCTGAGAAACAATTGCCTTTAAAACAGAAAATGTATTTACTGTTCAAGGACATCTTTACCTAGCACTGTATTTTTATTCTCAATGTGATGCCAACTAGTAAGTTTGGTACAGCTTTGTTATTAAATTGTGAGATTTCTTCCAGCAGATGGTGTGGATCTATCTATATTCCAATGTAAGGAATTAGAAATGAAATGGAAGTCCCTCTCACCATATTCTGATAAACAGAAAAAAACAGTTCCCAGTCCTCTAACTACTGCACATTTTTTCCTGGAATAAGCTCTAGCCTTCCTAAAGGAAGCACTAAGGTAGCAGAACAATACAGGGGATAGCAGTCTTGCTGTTGACTTAACTGGTGTGCTTGCTCTTCAATGAAAACTCTCTTTTCCTAACCTGGAACATTTATTTGGGGATGAAATTCAAAGGAAGAAAAAAAAGAAGCTGATGGCATAGAAGAACTCAGAGGAAAAAATGGTACAGAGTTTGGGATCCATAAGAAGTTTTTTAAAATGATTCAAAGTGTTTGCATGCTAATGAAGTTCACTACTTGCTGCTTTTCGTAAGCTGTGGTTATATGAGGAAATTTACATACACAACATGACTTGTAGACCTACAGAATCTAGAACATATTCCAAGATAGTTATAATGGTTCAAGTGAGATATTAACTGCTTCAGAAAGTTCCTTGTAAGGTCTGCTTAATTTCTTTGAAACCACCTAAACTGAAAGTAAGCTGTATATGGAAAAGTCTAACAACCTATAACTCAGTCTGAGTTGGAAAGTCTGATGAATTTGTATAAAACCATTCATGAAACAACCTACCCCTGTCGCACTCACCACGTAAACTGTTAGCAAATGAGAAAGTGAGAACATTTTTCAATGCAGAGCAAAATTACTCTTACAGTCATCTATATATTTAAGATAAAATAATGGATGCTTTATTAAAAATTATTAACTGTTATAAACAATCTTAATTAAAACCAATGCTTTCTTTGAGACCTTTTTGGTATTTATTAGGAGATGATGGTCGAAGATAATCTCTTAAAACTAGAATTGAACCGTCTTCAAGATACACTGTGTAATAAGACAGAGAAAGTTCTAACACTGGAAAGACAAAAATTGGAGTTAAAGAAAGCCATAGCAGAAAGAACTGAGGAAATTAAGATTCATAAGGCAATGCTGGATTCCCAGATAAGACTTGTGGATCAGGAACGGCAACGCATAAGGTAACTCTTCTTATACAAACTAAACTTGTAACTTTTACCAAGTGCATTTTATATATGGGGACTTACTGAAAAAGCAGCATTTTACCCAATTTTACCAATTAAAGAAATTGAAGATGAACTGCATCTTGTTTGAATTTACATAGCGAGACAGTTGAGGCTAGCAAGAGATCCCTTCTCTGAAGTTCGGCTTACAGCTTTAACCACTTGGTGAACAAAAGATCACTGTTTATCCTGGCAGTGAAGATCCTCTACAGTACTGAGAGGAAACCTCAGTTGCAGACATCTTTTTTAAAGTAAATGTCATGTGTGTGACCCTGCATTTTTCAAAATAATCAGGAAATGTGAAATCATGTCTGGAAGTAGGACAAAGTATTTAAAATAGAAAAGTTGCTTTTAAAGATTCCCAACTGCTTGATAAAACTGTAATTTCTTTGACTCATACAGGAAGTCTGTATATTTTGGGTTTTTTTGGGTTTGGGTGGTTTTGGGTGTTTTTGGGTACTTTTCAACAAATAAGCTCTCCATTATGTGTAACAAAACTATATCTTCTGAATTATGTATGTATCCTCTTGTAAAGCAACCACTTATGAAATAACTTTTCCCTTGTATAACAATTAGTGCAAAGTATCTGGGACAGTTTTAGCTCTGAAATCCCAGTTACCTACAACCAGCCAAAAATCAACACTTCAGCAGCTGAACTGCTGAAATCTGGCAGGCTTTTTATTCACTCCTCTGCTAACCACACCCCACACAATAGGAAATTAAAGTGATTTAGTGTGACTGAAGCTTAACTGCTCACTGAGAGTGCAGGCTGGGTGGCTTTCTTCCTTTTGATAATTACACAGCTAATTGATACTTCCATGTAATTTGATTTGGGGTTGTTGCCTACTGTTGCTTATGCTCATCAAGTTGTGGCAATATTAAGACAGTATCAGCAGGTGGCAGCTGGTGCAGCTGTAGGATTTAAATGCCAAACCTTTAAAAATTTTCAGGAAGGACTGTGGCACAGCCTCCCAGAAGGCAGTGATCTGGAATATGAAAATAAAATTTGACTCAGTTGAGAACTGCAGGAGAAGCATAGGTAACCAGAGAAACGGATGACTGTGGTTGGGAGAACACAGAAAACAAGAAAAAGCAGTAGCAGCACAACTGCTGCCCTGCCTGCCTCCTGGTACACGGGCAGACTGCTAGAGTAACACCAGCAATTTAAACTGCTATAGCAAGAACTGCCCACAAAACACTGCCAGACAAATACTTTCTCAACCCATTTATTTTTTCCCCAAAATAAATCAGTGCTGAATTTCAAGATCGTCTAAATAAAATTGATAAACTGAGATGCAGATATGAAATCCTTACTGTTGTCATGATGCCACCTGAAGGAGAAGAGGAGAAAACTCATGCCTACTATGTAATTAAGGTATTTTATTAACATAATTCATCATAATTCAAGTATTTAAGCTATAGATTTCCCTGGGCTCTAGTAAATTAACTAAGACAACCTCCTTGCCTACTGGTTACTTTCAATGTAATTGTTTTACGTTATCTGAGACTGTTGGTTATTTAAATGATACAGCAATTTCACCAGAATCTCTGTGGTTGGTCCTAATGTCAGTGGAGCCTTAATTTTGAGCAGTTTGAAAATTTTCACTTCAGTGTTCATTAATTTACAAAGACACAAGAAGTACTGGTCATGTGGTAATCCACAATAAACTGAAACCAAGTTTATCTGAATCTCACGTAAATTCTTCTACGTTTCAGAATTATTTTTAGGTTTTTATTTTACCATATGGCATCTATACCTTTAAGAATGTCAACTTTCCCCTTTTATCAGTCACCTCTGCATACTACAGCTTTTCACTGGAGGGGAAAAAAAAATAAAAATCAGTCTTTATCTATAATGCAATACCCCGATTCTGGAACAAGAATCTGTTATTTCTGATAGCCACAAATTCTCTGGGGAAAAAAAAAAAAGTCTTTATCTATAATGCAATACCCCAATTCTGGAACAAGAATTTGTTATTTCTGATAGCCACAAATTCTCTGACTTCCTTTTAAAGCAAAATGCTTCTAGCTGCAATTTTGGCTCTGAAGTCCGTATTTTTCTTAATGATGAGATCCAGCACACCAGAAGACCCACAGTAAAACCCTTGTGGTCACTGTGGCTATTATATACCCTCTACAACTATGGAGATTTTTCACTGTATCTTCTGATGGGCCGTAGAAAATAATTCCCTTCACCAGATGGCTTTTTTTCTAAAATCTCACTGATCAGGTAAATGAAGACTTTTAAGTGAGTAATTCCCAGACAAACTGGATGACTTTTAATGCTCTCTCAGTGGTTTTGTATAATGTACAATCTCAACTCTTACTCGGATTTTGTGGGCAAAGGAAATAGATGTGAAGCATGTGCTGCAGTTCACATCAGCAGTGCAAAGCATGGGAACTGCTTTGTACACAGTGTCGATACTGCTAATCACGACTTTGCGAGCTTAGATGGACAGGCAGATACCTATAATGAAATGCACATGGATGAAACACCTCAAAGAACTTCCAACACTGTAAATAACTACTGCTCCCAGTTACCTAGTAACTCAAATCTCAGTTCAAGCATGACAACACAGATAAGCCCCGCATCTACCTAGGATTTTAACCCCTAAATATTGCAGGTATTTTTTTTTTCTGTATAATTGTCCTAATATTTTCAGTATGCATGCAGTCACCTAAAGATACCAGTTTCATTTTCAGGCTGCACAGGAAAAGGAAACACTTCAACGTGAAGGTGATGATTTAGATGCAAAGATCTGCAAAGCTGAAAAGGAAATTGTAGCTCTGGAAAACACTTTGTGCATACTTAATAACTGCAACAGCAATTACCGAAACTCTTTCAAGGAAGTCACTGAGACAAGTATGTAAAATAGAAATTTCTATTTGTTGTGTGAGTTACAGATGATGGTGTAACTCAGGTATACAGTGGGAAAATTCCGTGGCACAAAAGAATGAATCACAGAGACTAAACTGATACTAGCAAAAGCGAGTGTAATTCACACGCTACTGTGGATAGTTCAGCAGAATGAGCAGAGAAGAAAGTGCAGTAAGGTGTAATTACCTAATATTGACGTTCTTTGATTTACGTGAAAAATCTCTAAGCCTACATAAATTTTGTAAATAGTCACAAGTAGGAACAGTCAGAAGAGGCATAACATAAAGACAATTACTGGGGTAAAATAAAGCCATTACTGGGAGTAGGGTGTGCCCACTGAAGTACATAGGTCTAGTGGATACTAGCAGATAAACTTTGCACAGTACAAGCAGCACTACTTTCTCTGTAGTGTGGCATCACACACAGCTACTAATTTGCATTCCAGCAGCAGGACAAGCTGTGTCACTGCCGGCCTTCTTGTGGCAGACAGAGCCAGCTTGGGCACAAAACTGTACCTGGAGCAACTATACAGGCAAGCTGTACTCTAGCGATGGAGACTGATCCTTTTGCTACACCATCATTCTCTGATTTTTCATATGGAAGGGAGGGGAAAAAAAGTAGTAACCTGTCATCTGGGGAAAATGGTGAGGAAGGGTAAAACTTGAACTGCACTATTTTAGTGTAGTGTCAGCAGATTTTAAAATATGTACTACCTAACTGCAAGTTTTTTGATACTGGAAATTCCTCAGAATTCTGGACAGTACCTTCATCTGCTGCTTCTGTTGCCACTTAAGACTCTGTAAGCTTGCTCTCCATCAGTGGAACTTGCTTTGTTTAGCGTATAAAAAACATCACCATGAGAAATTACATAAACTTAATTCTAGAAACTATTTGATTATTCTTCAGTAATCAGCTCTCTGCTGGCTCTGGAAACAGTAACTCTTACATCCTTCTCTCTCATGAAGCCAGTCACTTTTTCACAGTGATTTAGAATTAGTAGCAGTGTATTAAAAAACCCACTTAAACCTTGAGGTCTCTGTCATACTGCGAACACTAATATAGTCATACTCTGTGATGCAGTTACTTGAAAGTGCAACTTATTTTAAAGTGAAAAATTGAGTTGTATAGCCTGCCTGTCCAGCAATAATGCTGCCTCATTGTTTGGCATCACAGGTGAGGAATATGAGGAAAAACTGAAACTAGAGGAGGAAAAAAGGGCTGCTGATGAAAAATACAAATACAAAAGACGACAGATCAAGGAACTTCAGGAAAACCTCCAGGTAAAGTACAAGCAAAAGATATAATAAATAAAATAAAATACAGTCAAACAGACAAGGCTGCAGCACGTAGCTAAATGCGTGTGAGCCATCCTACTGAAAGAATGGGAAGCTCGGGGACAAATTTTTGCCCATTCTTTCACAGCCTATGCATTGTATGAATGGACATGATTTTTTAGAATGCTCTACTTCTCCTTTCAAAAATTGAGTGCTTATTTGAATTTTCTTGAATCACAATGAAACTTCAGGCTTTTTAGTCCCATACAGCTGGAAGTTTCAAAATCCCAGATGCACACTGACAGATGCTCTGTTCTGGCATCCAAGCAAGCAATTACATTTTTGTGTAGCATAGCCCACTATATCATGTCATCCTGTCCAGTACTGCAGAGATTAAAATCCACATACCCTATGTCCTCTGGCATCTGCATCCCAGGATTTTTCTAGGAGAACGTATTCTAGTTTATCAGCAGTCAGGGTGCTTCAGTTTAAACAGTATTAATTTAGCTCAAGAAAGCTAGCTGACTGCTATTGTAGCAGGTTGAGCACTACATGCAGGTAAAGGATAGCTTTAGGACTATCAAGGACTTACTCTTGGTTCCCCTTGTTATCAAAAAGCCCACTTGGCCCTTGAGAAAGAACAACACTTAACTCTGACATAGGACATTTTAATCAAAGGCACCCTGTTGCATCCCACATGATTATTCTAAGCCCTGAGTCACTGGCTACAGGTCAACCGCCATTCCTGTTGCTTATGCTACCACCATAGGACATATACCTTAAGAAATAACATCTCTGAAATTAAAGAGGGACACATATCTTCATCAGGGAGTAAGTCCTAGGATATAATGAGGATATAATGAGGATATAATTCCTGCCTTATTTTTTAAAAAAACAGAGCTGATTTTATTCATTCCAGTCAAAGTTATCCATCTCTTCACACAGGGAACAATGTTATTTTTCTTAGGATAGCTTGCTCTGCTAAGTTGGTACTGTGCCAAGTAAATCATTTGTAGACACTGCTCAGAGGCACATCTGAAAATACATAAAACTTATAACTTCATTAATAGTACCTTTAAAATAATTTCTTTAAGATATGTAAATTACCTGGTGGTCTCTTCATCCAGGTATTTATCCACTAAACAGTCTGACAGTCAGAAAGTTTTGAGTTATCATTAGAACTAATTGCTTGAGTTACACTTAGAAACAAGTAGTAGTGATAACAGACACTTTCACCAAGTACTGGAAGTGAAAGGATATCAGAACTGCTTTAGAAACTAAAACTACTGTTCAAATGAATTTACAGAGCATGGAAACAAAAATTGATATAGTACTGAAGCAGGAGGCCCTCTTCCAAGAGCAAAAGAAGGAAAAACAAGCTCTTATTTTGCAGCTGAACAAAGACATAGAAGAACAGAAGCCAAAACTAGAAAGGGCTATAAAACAGGTTTGTACATTCATTAATGACAACTTCTACCTTTATCATGATAGATAGCAGTATGGTTAAAACCACAGAAGTTAAACTTAGCAGGTTTCTGAAAAAGTGTTGCATTTCCATAATAGCAATGCCTCAAAAATGTTTGTTAAAAGTGTTCCAGGTTATCCAGAGAAATTCAGTCTCTGAAGAAAACTAAAACAGAAACACAGGAAGAAAGAGACATTGATCTTCGCGAACTGAAAAGCTTCAAGAGAACTATTGACAAATTGTTAGCTGATGTTCTAAAAGCAAATCCTGATTTAACTACACCCTTTCAAATGTACTTTCACCAGGTGAGCTTTCCAGTTAACTGCCACCAAAATCTTGACTGATAGCTGTAGTCTACTCCTGAGTGTCCTTCAAGGGCGATGCCTAAATTCAGCTATAAACGGTACTTACAGTAAAAGAGGAAAGTGTTCATCTTATAAACCCTCCCGATATACCCAGTCCTATTATACAACCATTAGGTCAACTTTTTTTTCCTTTCCAAATTTTCTAGTCCAATTTAGAGCTTCCTACAATTGCTTCTGCTGGTGGTAGTCAAAGTTCTCGATCACCATCCACACAAAGCTCACTAGCTTCTACCAGGTAAGTGCTAGCAATGTTTTTTTTGTTGTTTTTGTTTTTGTTTTTTAAAAAGTTTAAACCAGCAAAATTAGTCCCTAAATGACAGAATTCCTCACTCCTGAAGGTCTTCTCAATCTTGTTTCTAGTTCCTGAACACTCTATAAAAACTTTCTCCTTATACCATCCCACCTTTAAATTTACTAGATTTCTCTAGCACACAATTAAGTTCACTTCAGCATCCATCACAGTTTAAAATAAAACAGTAATTACAGAATAATTACATCTACTTTTGCTAACTGTGCTCTAATTAAAGTGGTTTCACATTATAAAAGCTCAAGTTTGAGCTCCAGCCATATTTTGCACTCCTTAGTGTGAGCTCCCTTTCCTAATTAAATAGGGCAGACAGACACGTATGCTTTTACCGATACCCTATTCCCCTCTGTTCAACATATATAAAACTAACAGTGCACGTAACGTACTGGAGCAGTTATGATCTAACATTCCCACAGCTTACTTAAGCTATTAGTGGCAATGTCTGCAGACATTTTGGTAGGGGGTCTTGCCTAGAATCAACACTGCTGCTGGGTGGCTTTATTGTAGGCCACCACGAGAAGCTCTATTTTAGCTATAGTATGGGGATTCTGTATACTGATGAGTAAATTTTTGTCTTTCAGATCCTGCAAAAGCACAAGTTCAGGCTCTGGTCAAACTTCATCACTCAAAGTCATAGATCTGAGCTTGCCTATCAACACTCCTGCAAAAGCAGCTGCTGTGGGTTCACAGCCATCCAGCAGAGCTAGCACCTCTGGTATTGGTAAATGCAAAAAAAAGGCTTAAGTAATCTTTTGAAGGCCATAGTAAAGGCTTCACACTAGGTAAGGCTTCTGAATTGATTAATGTCTAACTTAACTTATTGATCAAGGTATATTGGCAATCTTAGCATTAACTTCTATCAGAAATGCATGTTTTAACTTTCTTCTACAGTATGCAATAAATTATCTAGGAGAAATGTTAAGCATATGTAATAAAATAAATTAACCTTAAAATTACTCTTGTTTTGCTGTTGGAGAACTAAAGAGCTGCAAAACCCTTCAGAAGCCATTAATTCACTTTTCTTATTATGAAAAGGAGAGTTATGTTAAAGCCATTCCTTTTTGTAAACTGTTACTTTTGTTGCTGTTAAAATAGTTTTAGATTACATCGCAACAACCCAGGAAAGAAAACGTACACTTCACATCAAGATCAACCTTGACTATTAATCAAATAGTCATCCCTCATCAATACTTAACTGAACGATGACAGTATATGATTAAAGTCAGTAAAACTACTTTTTCTATTCAAAATTACAGAGTACCCTTTTTGCAACTGACCTATTGTCTATGGAATTACTTGGAAAACTTGCAGCTGCAGTACAATTGGTATTGTGTAGTCTGCCAGATACTAGAGCTCCTTAGCATCTTCTGTCATCCAGCTTTGAAGATCTCATTGTAAACAGAGCAGAACTTTGTCCACAGCAACGCAACCGCTGCCTTCAAGCTACTTGTAAAGCAAACACTTAACAACAACAAAAAAAAACACAAACAAGAGGCCTACACTTGAACTTACCTAGACAATAAACACTGTTTTAAAACTTTCTCCTCTTCTACTTCAGGTGGGGTTTTTTACATTACTTAGAGAACCTGTTTCATGACATTAAACGCTGCAATACACTTGCCTTCATAGACACTGAGGGGTTCCATTCCCTCAAGCAGCATGTATGAAACATCCTGGCACCATCAACCAAAAAAAAAAAAATCAAGACACAAAACTAAGAAAAATTAAGAAAATTTAATGATCAAATGAGCTATATACATTGATGGCACATGACTTTCACTCGGTTAACCCCTTTCTATACCTGGAAGTTTGATACAAAAATATTAACAGTCAATAGTACCCCAGGGGATGAGAAAAACCAAAGACGACTCATCTGCTGTTAAAGTGCGTATTTGATGTGAGTTACAGCTAACTACAGTCCAGGGCTATCAAAGTATTTCAACCCATCAGAGAGAGAATATTGTACAGGCACACCCCAAATTAAGAGCACAGGAAACTCGGGCTTTAAATAATAACTTTTATGTAAGATAGCCTTGCATCTCTTTCCACCATACAATCTTTAAAGAATTCTTTGACACTCTGCAAGACAGAGCAAACCCTGCCTTTCTATCACTCTTCATACGCATTTCCTGAAGAGATACTCAGGCAAAAGTTCATTTAACTACACTTATCAGAATAGTGTTTTCTTAGGTACTTTACTGTTTCTTTTGCTTACTTCCTTTTTCCCTCTCGAACTCAGCTATTTGATTGAATATGTTAACTAAGTTCTGGGGCAGGTTTCTTTTAATGCCACCTTCTGTTTGTGCTGTACCATTTAAAGACGTTTCCTCATCTGGTTCCTTTGTTTCATTAGTCTCCTCATAACTTCTTTTCCTATTCTTATACTCGCTTTCATTTTTATGCTGACTTAACGCATGCCTATCACTATCGTAACTTTTATCACCTTCACGTAAGCAGGTGCTAGAATACAATCTGTACTTTCCCACCGACTTGCCAGAATAGTCAGACCCTGCTGGAGACATATAATACCTGTCTTGACCGGAGCTGTGTTTTTTAAACTGCTCTTTTCTCCCCTCTATGTCCCTTTCGAATTTCCTAAAATAACGCATCCTGGGTTTATCATCTGACTTATGATATGAACCTGAAGAACCCCTCCAACTGGAGAAAAATCTATCTGTTTTGCCATATTTTTCAGTTTTGCTACTACTTGGCAGAGTTCTGGAGCTACTGTAAGAATCTCTTGAATCTTCAGACCTACCTCCAAAAGTGTCTTCATCATCACCTGAAGTCCTCGAAAAAGACCAGTGTCTGTCTTTCTCTTTTACCTCTGTTTTTGGACACACTAAGCTGTCCTGCCTTTCCAGCAGCTTTTCCACTTCAAAATTTTGGTTAAGAAAGGAAGCAGAGGTATCAGCCGGAGGCGAATACCACTCTTCTTTCCTAATCTGATCTTTATAATGGGAAGAAGCTCTAGATGAGCATTTTTTGGAGCTGTGGGCAGACTCTGATCTATTCCGATGCTTTTTCCTACGTTTCTTGTGACCAGAGGAAGAGGAGGAAGAAGAAATTGATACATCTGATGAAGAATCACTCGATGATGAGGAGGAGGAAGAGGAGGAGGAAGAAGCTGATACCTTCCTTTTCTTCTTCAACCTAAAAAATGTAATTAACTTGTGAGATTATCTTCAGTATCAGGCAAAAAATATATATAGAAAGAAATCTGTAATCCCCAGAGTTTGGCTGAGACTGGACTGTAAAGCATGAAAAGAAACTGAGCCTGACCTGGCAAGACAATTTTAAATGCCATTTCTTTACCAAAAATTAAGGTTAAATCCACCAAACAGTTTGTTATAAAAGGCATCTTTCCCAGTTTAATGTGGCATTACACTTTGTAACTACTTCATATTGCAAAGTATTTTTAAAACAACTTCTCTTCCATGTGTATCTCCATTAAAGGTCATACGCACTAAAGGACACTACACACAAAAAAACTCTGGAGGAAAAGCAGCTTACCCAGGTAGGAGTTCAACCTAGCTTACTGTTGGACAATCTGTTTGGGAACGGACTGTTCACAGTCTTATCTGCATTTACTGCCACGTAATCAGTATACTGAATAGAACAAAGTTACCTTTTTTCTTCTTTTAAGAGCTTACGCAATTTTTCTGCACTTGTTTCTACTTTCTTTTCTTTCTGTCTCTCTTCTTTGGCAGCTTGTTTCTCCCTCATTTCCAAAGATTTCTTTTTTGAACCCAAGCATCATAAAAAAATTACATTAGAAGTGTTAACATGGGTATTTTTCCCCATGTCCCCAACCCCATTCAAATGTATAATTACACCAGGGATGTTTTACCAGGATTCCCAGATCAGGAATTAATATTGTTCAAGAGTTCGGTATTGGCCATTGTGATAATCAGGTTTACATTAAGGACCATATTGCAGTTTTTATTCCATTAAAAAAATATATTTGACCAGCCATTGCAGTGGTACCCGTGATCCAGCACAGCGTGAAACATGGACCCAAAAGGTATAGATAGAATATGCAAGAAAAACACAAGTTACCAACAAGGAGAAAAGAAAAGGAAAGGAGAAAAAAGAAAAAAAAAAAGGAAAAAAGATACAAAGGGTTGAGGGAAAGTATCATTATTGTAGTTTACAAGTAAAACATGGCAGAACCCATTTTAAGATGTATTCAAGTCGGCCATGTTTGAATACAAACCATTTTGTAACAATTTCACAGACCAGTTTGATGCATAGTTTACGTAAGAAATCATGTTCCAAGGGTTTGTTGGTGATGAGCGGCACCAGATGTCAGATGCAGCAACAACGGTCCAATTCAGAAGAAAATGCATTGGAGAAAAACACATAATCAGTATTACAGGAAGACAAACTTCAGTGTTGTTTCAGCCACTCTAGCACAACAGTGATAGTATCAGATTTAGGTATCAAAATAAATGCAGAAGAGCATCTCACCAGATGAATAATCCTTAAACTACTGAAGTCTGTTAGAGATCAGACTTCTGCCATCTACAGCCCTAAGGAGTAGCTCTATTCATATTCAGAGCGAGCAGAAAGGCTGATTATTGTTTTCAAAACTTAGCCACCGTCTTAACAGACAATAAAGGAAAGAGATAATAAAGGAAACCCTTAATTGCAGTTAAGGCTCTGCAAACCAACAAAAATAGCCAGCATTGTGTTTTTATATCTGCTGCATCAATGACGCATTATACCAACAAAATGCTAAAAAGGAGAGTAAAATTTATCTCCTACTTGCTGAGAGTATTCTTCATCATTTTAACTGAGACTGATGCCTCTTTCTAAAGCAGCCAAACATGGATAGTGCTCAAATACCATACAACGGTTTATCTATGACGTAATTCAGTTTTATTAAAAAGATTGTCCCATCTCCTCTTCCCCCTTCTTTCAACACAACCTGTCAGCATTATGGCTCCACCAACTGAAGAAGTGTTCATCAAGGCCATCTACCCCAGTCTATGCCCTTCCTTACATACAGAAGCACAGAACAAAACAAGCCTGCTCCTCAGTGCTCTATTTTACTCTTTGATCCTCTCTGGAAGACAACAAGTAAAGTAGGTAAATAAAAGAAAAAAGACAACTCAGATTAGCACAGAGACCCATCAGGGCTCACCTGGGAAACATGCTGCGTGCAAGAGACGAGAGAAAAAAAAACCAACACAAAAAGAGACAGCAGAGGAGAAAGCTAGGACATTCAAACCCCCCACCTCCTGCTGTTTTCCTTTAAATTACCCCTCTCATGTGATCTTCCTATGAGTTAGCTTTGGCTATGTCTTTTCATAATTACTCCAAACGGCAAGGATCTGGCCGGTACAATGGTATGCAACGTTCATTTGGCTTGCATAAGCGTTTTACACTTTGCATGTATGTATTCACAGAATGTTTTCATTTCATATTATTAATCATGCTTGTGTGATGGAATATTCTTATCCTTGCTTTAGCTGACAGGGTTAACAGGCTTTGCTCTAAAAAAAAGTTTGGCATTTCTTTTACTATCCTGTTCAAAACAGTGGAGTCACCAAGAGGTACCTTTCTTCTGGTAGGTACAGCCATAATGCTCACTATAGAAGATTTACTGTGGAGAAGGGAAGCAGAGAGTAAGACAAACCATCAACTTAAACTCTCCCTGTTCAAAAGATTTAATATGATTTTTGATGTTCATTTATCATCAGTGACAGCACTATACAAAGAGAAAGTAAAGAATCACCTGCATATGCTTACGGAGTTTTGTTAAGGCGTCTTCAGCTTCCTGAAAAGTCTCATCCAAACTTAAGGCTTTTTTGTAATAATTCTCAGCATTCAGTAGTTTGTCTTCCTCTTCCAACCTACAATTCAAGTGATAAGTCATATACAGTTAAGCCACAGATTTTGTCAGTTTTTTCTTATTTTTAGGACTACCTTTCTTATTTGTACTATGACACTACCACTGCATCCCTCCAAGACCCTATCTATCATCTCAGCCCACCTCTGTAAAGAAGTAGAATGGTATTTCTGACACATTATCACGTCCCAATCATCATCAGTAACACTATTCTTGAAACTGGAATTGACATTTCAAAAAGTACTGTCTCTCTCATGTTAACACAGGGCTTAAAAGAAAGCTATTCCCTGAATATTCTAAAGTAAAATTTTGTGTCACAGTGGTTAACCAATTATTTCAGTATAGTAAGAGAACGTAATTTTGTTACAAATACTTTATTCAAACAGAACAAGCACAACCTATTGAAATACATTCAAACATTTCACAAGACTTTACGCAACCCTGGCATCCTACCAGTGAATGGATACCAGGATTAAACCTCAAATATTTTGCCACCATTTTAACTGGGACAGAGAAGAAAGTATAAACCAACTGCACAAACAGATACATTTCCAATAAAGACTTTTTTTTTTATTTAATTTTTAAACACATAGCCAGGACGGAAAGATGCCATTCTGTGTCCTAACTAGAATGGTATTAAAAAAAAAAAAAAAAATTATGAGAAAAATATTTAACAACCAAACAAGAACACAACCCCAACACTTACTGCCCGCCTCTTTCCACAAGTGTCTGGCAGAGGTACTTTCTTGCATTTCTATGGCTAGGACAGTTTTCTAAAGCAATTTCAAAATCACCTATGGCTTTGTTCAGGCTTCCTTTTGTTGCGTACCTAGAACAACAGAAAAGTTGCACAGATTTTAGTAATGTTTCTCTTTCACACAGTAGAAAAAACAATGAAACAAGCAGACTTACAGAGCTCCACGTGCTACCAAAGCTTCAACATTTTGTGGATCAATTTCCAAAGCCTTGTTGTACTCATTCATGGCTTCCACATGGCGCCCAACCTTAAAATAATCAACCCCAGCCTTCACGCTGGAGAAAAATATTTAGAAAACATTATGTACAGTTAATTACACACAAATTATGGTTCCAAACAAGTGATAGGTAATAAAACTTGACCTTGTTATCAGGTACTTAACACTGGCATTTCAAATTAATGCAATATTGACATAATTCCACAGCAATATATTGTCTTTAATCCAAAATCTTAAGGCACTGAAGAGCATTTCTGCAGACAATGCTACTACATTACACCGTTTTTCATTTATGGAATGAATGTTTAAGCACTTTCCTGCACAAAACTCTACGTGTGATGTATCACCGTTAAACTAGAACAGGCTTAATCATATCCAAAGCGAAAAATCACCCCTAAACCAACAACACAAGGTGAGATGTGGAGATCGTACGCACTGACATCAGTTCATCTCAAACTCGAGTATTTTCAGGTTTTATATTTCATATTACCTGAACATTTCTTCTACATTTGCCAAAAGATTAACTTATTGGAAGAGAACCAGTATGAGTTGAATTTCAGAACTTTTCATTACACACTTTTCTAAAAAACTAAAATTTATATTATATTTAACAGTATAAGCAACTTTTCCTGCAATTAATCAAAGTTGCAACACACTACTGTTTTAAGAAAAACACTGCTTTGTTAGCATGGAAACCAGAAATTCTGAGGCTTCGCTCACTTTTTTTTTTTTGGCTAGCAGATTCAAGAGGAGTTTTTCCACAAAAATTTGACATTTTTAGCAGTAAAGTCTCTCTTCTGCCTTGTCCACCCTGTAAGCATGCCCAAATACACTGCATAGCATAAAAGCAACAGCACCTATCCACAGGTGCTGTTCTAAATGCAGACAGGGAACTACATTTAACTTTTCAAAGATAGCAAGCACACTTGTTAAATCTACAGTCTGAGGCTTAAATGGCATGACAAATAATATTAGGTCATTCACCACCCAATTACAAAATGGAAAAACTGTGTACTTCGTATTGTCACAAATCTTGCTCTCATCTCAACAATGGGCCAACATATTATAAGTACTCTTAAGAAATTCTCCCTTAAATCCAACACATACTTTGGAACTGAATCTCGAACCTTTAGATGTGGCGCTTCAAGACATGGTTTAGTGGGCATGGTGGCATTGGGTAGAAGGTTGGACTTCATGATCTTTGAGGTCTCTTCCAACCATCACAATTCTACGATTTATCTATCATGTACCTACTTGGCACTTAGGGTTACTTTCAAGAAGGTCTTCCTGTTACATCGCTACACATGCAGTGGGAAAACTGGTTCAATGTGTATTTTCTTTTAAGAAATATAACCTGTAACCTAACAGTAAGCTCTGATGAGAAAAAGTATTGCATACCATTTCAAGGCCCAAGATGCAGATTGCTTTTTCCTCAATGCAGGTGCAAAATCTTCTTCACTGAAATTTTTACTTTAAGGAAAAAAAAAAACAAACACACGAGCAAAACCATCAAGTTGGCCTTCTGAGGCTACAAAATTAAACTCATAGTACATAATGCAGTTGAAATAAGCTCAAATATTATTATACAATGTCTTACTGTTCCCCCTTAGTCAAGAATGTTCTTTCATATTTCTGAATGCAGTTTTTCCCAACCCATTCTAAAAGTGCTGAACTGAACTAGTAGAGCTGCTGTACATTAACAAAAATACACCATATTTACACCTGCTTTGGGGTCTATCATATGTAAGGCTCATAACATCAATCATTGCACATATTTGAGCCTATTTTACTAAAGAGGTCAGCTCTATTACTAAAACAAACATTGTGAATAAACATCTCACAGAAAACATTAAAACTTAAACATCTAAAGTATTCAGTATCCAACATTTTGTGTGATAAGGTTTCTTGCTTATTCAGAGCAACAGAATTTCAAATGTAAATTTCTTACTCCAGATGAGTTTGCTTTGAAATATTTAAGGACGTGTAAGCTACAGTCATGCAAATCAAAATGAAAAAGGTTTAAGTATAAGTGGTCTAGGACTTCCACTCACAAATCTATTTCAATGGATTAGAATAATCTTCACAAAGCTATAGGATAGGAACAATATAAAAAAATCACTTACATTTGAAGACTTCGCATCAAAGACGGTGGATTTGACTCACTTAGTCCTAGTTTTTCTGCTAAATATTCAACTAATGATGGATTAGCGAATCCTGGTGAACGATGCAAAACCTCTTCAAATGTCTCTCCTGTATTAGCAACTTCCATGCTTCGCCTTAAAAAAAAAAAGCACCAATGTACACAAACACAACCTCACAGACACTATACTCCATTTTATGATACTTCTGTTTAAAATAAAAATGCCTAGGTTGATATTTATTACTGCTCAGAAACTGTTCTCTTTTACAGGCATATATTTTTCCTACTATTTAGCAACCCTTATAAGCTTTAGTCTAAGCGAGCTTTTGAAATCTATTTTGGCACCCACCTAGGTATCTCTGGGACATACAAAATTTGCAGAGATACATTACAAAAATTGCAGAGATAGGTGTGTCCTTCTGTCTTCTAAGGGTAATTTTAAAATTTTAAGAATTTCATATTCCAGTCTCCCAAGGTTTTTGTTTCTTGGTGGGTTTTTTTGTTGGTTTTTGTCTTTTGTTAACAGTCCCACAGTGACAGATACCTTTCTCTGCTTTTTGCTTGCCCTACATTTTGAGTAAGATACTAAAAGATCAACCACACCTAATGTATCCAGAAACACGCACATTAAAGAGATGAACAACAAAAAGTTGTTCAATCATCCAATTAAATCAGAAACACCCACAACAAGTTTAAAAACCAGTCTGTCAAAGATGCTCTTCAGACACGCCAAGCAAGTACAGTTGAATAGCACTTACCTATAATGTAATGGGAAGTCATCGGAAGTAACTACCCCTAGTTTTGTACTGGAAAGGTTGGGTGGAAGAGCTGAGCTGTAAAGTGACACCGTCAGCTTCTCATGATAACGATCAATGTCCTTGATTGCAGCTATAGAAACAATAAAAGATAAAGTTACAGAAACGTCTCAAAACGAAAACAAACAGATTCCTGACAACTTTGGCAGCTACTTGCCTCGAATAAGGTCTCCAGTTTGATAATAAGATAAAGGATCTCCATGGTTGCTTTGAGAAGGCACATCTCTCAAAGGACAAAGAGCCTGCAACAGAAAAAAATAGGATTATCATAAACAAAACCAAAAGATTTTTTTTTCTCCCCAAGATTAAGCCAGATTAGTTTAATCTTAATGCACGTCACAGCTGTGACAGTTAAAAGTATGGCTTGGGTCAAATGAAAGTTTATGCATCCATAAATGATGAACCTTTCAACTCAAAAATAATAAATATTGAGTACGGGTGATAAAAAGCAGCATTCGCTAGCTCAGCAAAGCATCATCAGCTGTTGACAAATTCAGATACCACCCACCATCCCAAAGTTCAGCTTCACTTTTACACATACCACTCCACTAAGCAATGCAAGCAGCAACTAATACATTAAAACGTTATTACTCATCAAGAATAAAATATTGATCAAAGCTGTATCTTACAGTGATTTCTAAATCTGAAATTTCCCGTATGACACCACTTCCCAGACAAATCAACACCATGAAAAAGCCAAATTCACGAATAGAAGTAATCCTCCCAATCACAATATCACCACGTTCGATGTCTCGAAAAAATAATTCTCTCCTGTCTTCCCTGGGAACATCCATGAACCGTTCCAGGGGAGGCATAACAGCATAATACTCTGCAACACACGAGACATTCACAGTTATGAAACAACCAAGTTACAGCCTAGAAATACAAAATATTTCACGATAGCAAAACACGTTAAAATCTGACTTATTTGTACTAACAGGAAGTCTGTGCACAGCCTATAAAAGGCAATAGCGAAATATTTCACCCTGTTTTTTAAAATACTGCCAATTTAGGAGCAGTGCCCTTACAGTACCCAGCGGGCGTTCGAGTGACACCTTACCCGAGAAGCCGCCCTCACCCGTGAGCAGCCTTACCTTCATTTTCTTCGATCGTGTCAGAGAGAGGTCCATTGGGTTTCCACGAGTGAGCAAAAAGGAGATCAGCTTTTTTGGCAATGAAGCGCTTTATCTCGGTGTCAATGCTCGCCCTCTCTTTCCTAGGGGAAGGAGAACCCGGTGAGAAACACCCAGCGGCCCCCTCACGGCTCGCTCGCTCCCCTCGACCGCATCGCCTCGGCGCCCCTCACCAGGCGGCCGGCGGGT